TCCTGTCTGTCACCGTGATTGACAGGTCTGCAGTTTTGCTGAGCTGATGGCCAGAATCTTTGCAGGGGGGTCATCCTGCTGCYGCCAATTCCCAGAATCCCTTGCAACTCCAGGGCCTCCTCATTAAAAACTCGATGAATTATCATCTTTATTAATTTTGTCGTCATTTTTCTCCCTTGCAAACATTGCTTTGTGTGGATCGGGGGATATTTTCCGTGAACGGCGCAAAACCACGGACGACCCGCGAGGAGGGACGTCTGGGGCTCCCCCTCCCCCACTTGGCCACGTGCTCCACGCCCACTTGACCTTGAACCCCCAGCACCGTCCTCCATGCCCTGGACCTCTGCACCCTGCGATGGCACCTTGTTCACACCAGACCTGAATTCCGCTGCCTAAGGCTGCAAGCACCAGGTCCCGGGGGTCCCCATTCAGCTGGGAAACCCAAGGCGCTACCTTCTTGCACATGAAGACGACCTTGACCTTGAAGACCGCCGCGCAACCAGGGAGAGGCGCTGTGCACCGCGGTCACCAGCGACCCCAGGACCCTGCAAAGTTCATGACGCGTTTCTGGAGGAACTGACCATTGTCCAAAGAGCCAAAGGAAACAAATATCCTTCATGGCAAAGGGTCACTCTGTTCTCGATGCCATTAAAGACTCAGGTTAGACAAGCGGTGGGACTGTCCCGGAGCCGCAGGATCCGAATGCACGAGGGCCCTGCCGTGCGTGGGCAGGCCTCGGTCACTTACCCAGGACGCCCAGGCGGTAGTTGATGGTGATGACGATGACGTTGCCGTAGCTGGCCAGGATGCTGCCGTCGATCATGTTSCCGGTGCCCTCCATGTAGGAGCCGCCGTGGATGTAGACCATGACCGGCTTCTTGCTGCTCTGGTCGTGGATATCTGGGGGGGAGAGCAAGCGGGGGACACCGTAAAGAATCACACTCGGGGTGCCCGCTGCGTCCAGGGGGGGACRAGGGGCCCGGGGACCGCGGTGACGCCCCCTGCCAGGAACCCCATGTAGGTAGGTGGACAGAGGGAGGCAGGCTTTGGAGGCTGGCCTCAGCTGGGACCTGTTCTCTGCACGGAGGTCACTTTTGGAGGGACGCTGGGGGGTGGGTGAGGCTCAGGGGTGACCCCCGGCCTCCAGGGCCCCACGTCCTGCAGCGAAAAATAGGAAAAAAAAAAA